AGGTTTTTTTTTAATCTAATTATGGATTTTCCTCTGTGATCAATTTGGTGTTCTTTATTGTTTATTTATTTCCTTTGATCGTTATAAATTGGTTGACAATTAGGGTTAATTAAATTGAATTTATTATCTTAATCATCTAGAAACAAATTAATAAGTGACTTGTTGCTTCTAATTGTTTAATTCCGCATTAGGGTCTAAACTATTCGGGTAAATTTGAACTCACATAGACCCAAAATCTGGTTGATCTAGACTTAAAAAGTATTATCATTTTAATTTTCTTTTCAAATCATAGATGCGGAAAACTGATTAATTTTTTCTTTAACATAATAAATATTATTGACTTTATTTATGAGAATAGTTTGTACTTAATAAAAACGTAAGAGAATTAAGTTAAATGTAACTTTATATAAAAAAAAGAATTCGTATTTAAAAGTATTAGTACTAAGTTCGTCTCACCACAAGTTTTCATCTCGAATTATCGTATTTTCATCATCTGAGAGGTGAAGGATAATATGGAATGAGCTAATGATCAATAAAAAAACCTCATGCATATGATATGTGTATGAATTACTTTAATATAAATAGTCTTTCTTAATATGCATCTCATTTTCTTCAATTTCTTTAAAAACTTTAGCATTAACATTGGGATCTCACTTAGTGTAAAGCGTAACAGATTAGAACGTAGTAGACAATTATTATTTTGAATCCAATTCATTCTCTCTATAGTACCATAAAGTGGTTAACATTAATATTAAATATACAACATTCAATATTGGTCGGGTGAGCAGACGCAGGTCTCCCGCGCCCCATTTTTCACTCACACCTTTTATAGCATAGACATGCATCTCTTAACAAAACATTATGAATAATATTTTTAAAAATACTTCTTGGCTCATTGACGTTTGAAAACATTTTATTTCTTGAGACTTTATTTGTGCTTAGGAATGCATCAACAAGCATAAATATGTCATGAGCAATATTAATGATATAAAAATGTAATAATCAAATATCTAGTTTACATAATAACAAATTTAGGTAAATCATTTATATATTTAACGATGTAATGTACGCATGAAAGCATAATGAGTTTTACTTACCATGAGATTGTCATACTTGCTCCTTTTTAGTTTCTCCTAAGAATTTATTATACGTCATGTTTCAATTCTCGTGCCCGAGGGCCAATAGCTGGAAAACAACTTACCCACTTTTGCTGGAGTTAGGATTAATTTCAGGTCCAGCTACGTAGCCCAAAAAACTTGGTAAAGAGGAAACGCAACCTACCTATCCGAATCACTTACTAAAGTAGTGATTGATCAATTATGAATCTGATGAAGATGGATACTTAAGAACGTCTCTAACCCAAACAATTATGCGTTAACTTTATTTGTTTCAAGTTTTTGGATAGAGTGATTTAGCTCAATTTTATTGTAAAAGAAAAATAAACTTTCAATATTAGTTTCCTTGTTCATTTATTGATTTTTAATTTCCAATTTTTTGTGTCATCTAGATATAATAAATCTCCTAAAAATATTGAGTACAATAATCTAGTTGTGGTTTAACACAAATTTTAGCGGGTATAGGAGTCTAAATTGGAATGGTCTTGAAGAGATCAAAATTATGGATCAGAGGAAACAGTCGCAGCATTTTCGCTAGCCTAGGGCTAGCTAGACGCTTGAGCTAGTCTAGAAGAAAACAACCTGAGACTTGGTCACTCGCCTGGTGCTGCCCTGTCGGTCGCCTCTCGCCAAATAAGAGATGAACATGTGATTATAGTCTAATTGATTTCAAAAGAATACTATGACACGGTGGCTTCTCTAGAATTTTTTTTTTCGATTCATGTTGAACCAAGGTATTCACTCCACGAACTATGCCTCTCTGCTTGCAAGATATATGTGATATGCAAGGGGAACAAAAGCATGAAACGATCGCACCAAGCATAAGCAAGCCATTTCCCATTTAGGTTGGCTAAAAACTATTATTAAGATGCACGTGGGTAGGTGTTCAAAATGTGACTACAAAGATAATAAATGAAAGGCACACAAGCTAATGAATAAAACATGATATTATAACATATCAATAATAAGTTAACCAATAAGAGGCTGTCATTTGTAATTTTTCCTAAATGACTTAATTGCCCCAAAAGCCTTTAGGGAAATCTATAAATAATTCCACCTAAGAGAAGAAAATTATGCTAATTCAAGTATCTCCCTTCCAAATAGCTATTTTCCATCTTACTTTTGTCTTTGAGTATCGAAACTAGAGTATTTAGGAGGAGAAAGTCCTGACATGGTGAGAGAAATTTGTTGATCTGATACATCAGGCAGTAGCGGAGCAAAAAGATTAGCAGTGTTCCAATCAATGTAGAGGTAAGCTCAAAGAATCAGTGAGAGGATATTACACGGAAAACTACGAGAAAATCAGTTCCTTGCTCAGCTCCGTTGCTTACGGAAGGAGTTAGCAGCAGAGGCCATTCAAAAGATGGCTGAGGACCTCAAGGCATTGATGAAAGAACGTGTTGCTCTGTGTGCAAAAATGCAAAGCCCGGAAACTAAACATAATAGACGAAGTACAGCTTCGGAAACCATCAGGAATATAGGTAATCTGCAGTCCCTAACCTCTTCAATCAAATCTATAAAGCATAAAAATGGGAAAAACATGAATCGAAGATAGGATAATCTTTATGCAGGCAGCAATAGCGGGAGAACGTTTTCATGCGCAGAAAATGTGCTAGACAATGAAGGTTAAGATGGAAGTATAGAGAAAAACAATTAGGTGGGATTAAGTTTCTAAGTTCATTTTAATTGATGGTTCAAATTTTAATAGGTGGATAGTTAATTAGTAATTGTATTTTTTGGATTGGGATTTTTAGTTTCCTGGAGGATTTTGCTTTTTTATTTTTCTCTAAGTGATTGTCTTATAAAACAATTTCTTTTATCAATTTCTATCAGAATTTGCTAAAACTTTTATATAAAGCATTCTTGAAACTACCGTTGTGTTAGGAAGCCTGTGAATTTTTCTCTTGCTAGAGATTTTGCCAGTCTAACTTCGATGTCCTTATTTTATTTCATTATTGCTTTACACTTTACACTTTGAACTTGATGAATTATGCAATCTAAAATTATCTACAAAAACAAATAAAGAAGTTTAATTCTAATCGATTACTTGTATAATTTACTGTCATATATAATAAACCAAAATAAAGCAAAAACACAAAAATGAAAATTTATTTTTTGGAGAATGCTTGCTTAAAAAGTAGGAAAGTTTTGTGAGTTAATGTACAAAATTATTTTATTAGGAGAATGTTCGATTGAAAATAAATTTGAAAAAAAAATGATTTCTAATAAATTAGTTCCTTGCTCAGCTTCGTCACTTAGGGAAAGAGTTAGAAGCATAGGCCATTCATAATATGGTTGAGGACCTCAAGGTATTGACGAAATAACGTGTTTCCCTGTGTGCAAAAATGCAAAGCCCAGAAACTAAACATAATGGACGAAGTACAACTTTAAAAACCATCGGGAATATAGGTAATCTGCAGTCTCTAACCTCTTCAATCAAA